GAGAGAGAGAGAGAGAGAGAGAGAGAGAGAGAGAGAGAGAGAGAGAGAGAGAGAGAGAGAGAGAGAGAGAGAGAGAGAGAGAGAGAGACAAAACATTATAAATACGTAGTCCGAAAGTCACATAGATTTGTGGAGTGAGATTTTGCCAATCCAAGTGCAGTTTGGAAAATTTGTGGCAACCATGTTGGAATTCGTTGTGATAAGAGGTAACTCGTGTTTTCCATTTAATGGGCGATACATGCTTGACAACTTTCCATCAGTCTGTAAGCGCACGGACTGTGCAAACTCCGTCACACAAGGCACGAGCACAGTGGACCGCGCAAGGAGTACTTTCGACCTCGTGACAAGAACTGTTCGATCGTTCGTTGCACAAGGACCTCCTTCTATGCAGATAAGGAGTAATGCCCCTTACGACATTGGCGGATCAGCACCACAACCCTTCGCAAGTGAGGTCACGCAGCAAGCAAGTGTCGCAATGCATATGGGCGTACATGAGCGGCACGGTAACGCAACCCTTATTCCCACAATGGTGGGGAATCCGTTTGATCAGCGGACATCGGCTTACCCCTCCCTCAACAGCAGGGAACGTTTTACAGTCGAGCCTCCATCGCCCACACAGGTGCCAGCGAAACGATCACGAGAGGTCTTTGAGGCAGGTGGGTTGGAACATATATTATGGAATTCGAATGATGACATCGACGACGAGGTTGTCGATGAATCCAGCGACGAATTTGGAGATGGAGAACCGGTGACAGGTGCCTCTCTCTCTCGGGCGGTTAATGAACAAAGTGTGGTTCGTGTTGGGCAAGAGTTCACCAACATCGCTGATCTTCGGAAGGTCGTTGCCGACGATGAGGTGAAGAAAAAGTACGAGTTTGGGATTGTGAAGTCAGATCCGACAAGGTACACAGTGAAATGCAAGGCGGAAGGTTGAGGGTGGTGGTTGCACGGGTCAGCGGTGCATGGTGGACCGACGTTCAGGATCAAGTCATTGACCACACACTGCTGGGGAGGTGTGAGCAAGCTCTCCAAGAAGGTCGTGAACGCTGCTTGGGTGTCACGGTGGATAGAACCGCGACTGCGTGACAAGCCAGACCACTCGCATGTTGACATTGTGAAAGACATTTACCGGCAGCATGGAGTGGTTATCAAGTACAGGCTTGCATGGTTTGCAAAAGAAGTGGCGAAGGCTAGAATTGTCGGGCTGGATGACGACGGGTTTCACAATCTACGGATGTATTGTGTTGAGGTTCAACATTCAAACCCTGGGAGCCGTGCTTTTGTGCAAGCGGAGGACGGATGTCAGCGCTTCAAGCGCATGTTTTATGCACTGGAGGCATGTGTAGCGGGTTTCATGCACTATCGCCCGCTCCTCGGCCTTGACGGCACTTTCTTGAAGACAAGATACAAAGGCATTCTCTTAAGTGCAACAACTGTGGATGCTGAGGGTCACCTTTTCCCAGTAGCATCCGCTATCGTGCCTGGTGAGGACAACGATAACTGGTTCTGGTTCCTCCACCATCTCAGTGCGACCATCCAGTCACGGGCCACCAACGAGATTATAACCTTCTTGTCCGATCGAGACAAGGGTCTCATCGACGCGGTGACCGATGTTTTTCTGCGCTCTCCACATGGATATTGCATGCGTCATCTAAGTGAGAACGTCAAGAAGCGGAACAAGGGGCCCGAGTACCAGAAGTTGTTGTGGGCAACATCAAAGGCGGACACTTTTGCGAAGTTTGACAATTTGGTTGCGCACATGCGTGCAATGGACCCCGACACGACAACGTGGCTTTTACGGATGTGTGATCCTGTGCATTGGGCTGAAGCACATTTCGAGGGACGGCCGGAGGGCGCGGTGTCCCGACCCTCCTTTGTGTGCCAAGTTCTTGCTCAGTACCAGTCCCTTGTCCCGATGCCTGCGGCTCGTTGGACTGTTGTCGAACCTCCGCGGCTCTGCTGGTATGCCAGAGTTGTGCCCTGACGTGGACCGGTCTTGTTGGTGCTTGTCCCTGCAAAAAGGAAGGGGGGTGCGCCACAAGACTTTCCTTTGGTCCACGCAAACTTCGCGCCCTGATGTACAGCAGAGCACTACCGGCCTGTAGCCGTGGTAGCCACCGGGCTCGCCCCGGGACGCAAAGATAGAGGGACGGGCGCAGTTTTTTCTGCTGCGTGTCGAGTCCCCCTCCACCAGGTTATGGGTTAGGTGCACGGGACAGATGTCGCTGTCAGAATGAAAGGAACCAAGAAAAAGGAGAAGCGAAGGGAAGGAAAATATGGGAAAAGAAAAAAAAAACTAAGCGTCGAATCTCTGTGATGGTCTGAGTTCCTGTTTTAGTTCGAGGTAGTAATGATGTCATAACCCCCTTCCCTCTCGACTTTATTATTATTATTGTTGTTATTATTTAACTTTCCTTTTCACTCGATTCGTCAGAATCGGTTTTCATTTTGGTCTGTGTTTTTTTGCGGGGCCAACGACTCAATTTTTGAACCGCGGCTGTCGTCTGATAGCCTGGCCCGCCCGTAGTTGAAGTGATCGTGGGGTCCTGATGGTCGCGATCCGGACCCAATGCAGGGGCGTGATAGCGATAACCTGTGTGACCTGCTCAACCGCGCGCTGGACTCTTGTGGCTGGGTTACGGGGTAGGCTTGGTGGCGACAGTCACCGTCGGAAAGAGGAAGATGCAAAAAGAAGAAAAGGGGGAAAAAGGTCAAGTATTGAGTTATGGATTTGGGCTTAGGTTTCTCTCGTTGTCCTAGCACCTTGGTGTCGGATAGAGTTTAGTGAGGTCACGACGCAAGAGGACTTCGAAACGCCATTTCCCCTTTCCTAATGTTGTCATTATTAAGGTTGTTATTTATTATTACTAATACTATTATTTCTGTTATTAACCCTTTTATTTCGATCTCCCCTTCTGTCGTTCCACGAGGGGTCGACGGTTCGAATATAGACCTTGAGTGCAAACTGGTGGCTTAGGCTAGCCTGGCCTCTCGCTTCTTACCTTGTGACTGAGTTGTTCAGCTGGGAGCTGCGTGGTGGGACCCCAAAAGAGGGGCAGCCTGCTGCCGCATTGGTAGGAGGCTTACCACCTCCCTTGGAAGGTCATAAACCCCCTCCTTGCCATCGGACACGGGGACCCGGTAGTAGTAGGCCGACGGCTTGTTTTGAGGAGGGAGGTGCGACCGTTGATGTCCCGTTATGGGATCGCTGTATAGGGTCGCAGTTACTTCCCGAGTGGGCTGGCGCTAGGATCGCGGATGTACTGTCTTCGCGTTCCTTTCTCCCTGATTTATTTCATTCTACTAAACTATGATCTACAAAATTATTGAGAGGCAAAATTATGAAAGTCTATTTGAACCCCTCGTTTAGAGAGCAGGGATTGTGGTAGTTGGCGACCCTATAAAAAAGCGGGGGAGGCGTGCATCTGGGGATCCAGGTGTGAGCTGTCTCACCGCACTGGTGGATGAAAGATTGGGAGGACTGAGTTGCGGTATGAGAGTATGAGATAATGTTGTTCGTATGTGCTTGCGCTAAGTGTTTTTGTCTGGATTGTCTCGAGCCGCTATGTCCTCTCGGACTACTGCGTCTTAGTACCGGCGTGCAGGCCAGCAAAGAGGGGAGTGACCATGGTACGCAGTAGCGGCCTATATGGCTATAGGCCAAGGTGCCTCCAATATCTCTGTAAGTGGGAGCAGATGTTGGGGGAAGGACCTACAGTAACGGCTATATTGGACTATAGCTATGGTAGGCAAGATGCAAAACTGAAGGTAAACGTAGAGGTGGGAAAAGAAGAAGAGATGAGGGCGGATCAGGGACTGCAGATGACGATTACGGAGGCAAAGGATCGTGTCGAGAGAAGGTGCAGGCGGGATGGAGTCACCGGCGAAATCAGGGTGACGGTCTCGTACCTGGAGGCCGAGACTTCGACGGACACCGTGGAGAGGGAGCAACAACATTTGGACCGCGACTCAGAAGCTGAGAGTGACGCCAGCGACTTGAACGCGGACACCCAGTCTTGGCATGGACTGGACCAGGGGTGACGGGACCACCCTTCAGTGGGCCCAGTCGAGAGTGGCCCGGAGGCCTGCTCGCAGCGACAGAGAAACCAGAACCGCTAGGCTGCGGGGCGAGAGCAGGCACGACCAAGTAGGGGACGAGGGGAGAGGCAGAGGAAGTCAAACACAGGGATCTCCATTAGTAGTTGACGTCACCTACCAGACGAGTTTGGCACGACAGGTGGTCTTCTTGTGGCATGGTGAGAGAGATAGGGGTTAACGCGAGAGAGACAACCATATTAACTAATACGGAAGAGAGAGGGCATGTACAACTACGTGCATTGTTGACGTCAACTTCGCATGACAAGAAGCAGTGGGATCTACAACCCCTCAACGGCTTAGCTGCGACTCTGGGATGGTCGGACCGCTCCTCGTTTCTTGTGTGAGGAAGGTCGCGCCATCTTGGGCGTAAAGAAGGTTGCAAGTTAGTACTCGTGATGCGGATGACGCTCGCAAGAAGAGGAGGACATCATAATTGGTGGAGAAGGGAGCATGCACAAGAGATACTAAAGACACGGTAGCTCCGGATGTTATGAGAATGGTTCCTGTTGATGTCACCTGCCAAACGAGACGCTTGCAATCTGATCAGAAGATTGTTCACTAAATGTCTACAGGGCTTTTTCCCTCTTTGTCGGAAGCGTTGAACGTGCGCGTGCTTATTTGAGCCTCGTGATCATTGATACGCGAGAGAAAGAGGGGGACCCGCACTCACGCCTCCCGCAGTTCAGTGAGTATTGATATGAAGATGTGTCAGTCTCATCCCACTCGGAGGACATAGTGTGAAGCAGGGTCTATCTCGGGATTGGCGCATCTAAGACAGCGTAGGCAGTTTGTGTTGACTCCACCCTGACTAATTTGGCGAAGTAAATCATGAAACCAGAGACAACAGAGTTGCAATGTGTGGTCTTATTTACTTGGATAACGGGAAATCACTGTTGACGACAGCTATCTCTCCCATCTGATACGCTCTCGCAGACTGGACATTTCCCTGCTGATGAGACTAGTCCCTGTTACCTTACTACCCGACTTCGGGAAAGGTAGGAGAGACCTCTCGTCTCACACTCTTTTATGCGTAAATTTGAGCCACGTCTTACGGCTATTCTGATGTAATCAATAAAGGGCGCGGGTCAGCCTTGAATTCTCATGACCGACCTGCTTAAAGAGAAGTGGTGTGGGTAAGTATGTAGAAGGGATTGTTCCTAATTGAAAGGGGGACGAGAGAAAAAGGGAGGGAAGTGCAAAGGAAGCGTCTACGCTCTATAATACTGACGTCAACTGTCCTCTATAGTTGTAAATATCAGGCATTAGAATGAAGAGTATTGCAGTCCGTTCTAGCGCGCCTAATAGCGAGCTATGCTTGAGGGAGAAGGATGATTATTCTGAGAAGGCCCGAGTCGTGAGAGGGAGACAATGCCAACCTTACTGAGTGAGCCCTTGATTGCGGGGAAATGCCTTGCCTTGTCCCATTCGTGGGGTTTGGTTCGTCGGGGGATGGGTTACTGTCTGATTACACGCTATTAGGCGTCTCCCCTTTTTACTCTCGCTGGCTCGCCATTAGATCTCGTTCGAAAGCGAAGGGGCATTTGTTGTAAAATAACAAGAGGTAGTTAAGATGGGGAGAGCGGAGTTTACCTATTGGCTGATTCAGTAACGGATGTTTTGGTATCAAGTGTTGTCCCCCGTGAGCCCGAGTTTGATGTGCGCTTAGGAACTTTCTTGTTTAATACCCCTTGTGTTTCTCCGACAAAACAAATTGCCCTGAATCAGACGTCTTTCAACAACAGTTAGTTGAGTGAGTTACGAACGATGGGAAATGATTAATAAATAAGTGATTATATAAGTGCTAATCTTGGGTGTCCAATCAAAGCGGTTGGTTTATTTGAGTGATGCTCGGCAGGAAAGGAAAGAAGAGAGGGCTTGCCTTAACCAAGGGGTGACAAATGGATGATACTAAATCTTATTTCCAAAAACCTTTTTCCTTCTTACCTTCACTCGCTTTTTTAAAATATCATTTGTCAGATGGTAAAACGGGGAATTATTATAAAGAAAGTTGCCTACCTTTTAATCAAATTCTTGCTTGATAGGGATTGAGAGTTTCCCAATCATGAGCTCAGGGGTGTGCGTACTAGACAAGGAAAACATGATGAATACCACATAAATAAAGGTTTTCTCGTGCTCCTGTTTGGGCTAATTCTACGTTCTATGACGGGATCTGAGACGTGACGGGCAATATTCTTGGCAACTAATTAAACCTCACATGATCTAACCAGCTCGATCGAGTTGTTTATAAGAAAGGACGAAACAGCGTGACGAGCGCAGCCAGGTGACTGGAGTACCGACTGACTCGGGTTTTACTTGATGGATTAAAAGCTTCCCGAAAATCATCCGGCTTGGTCCCTAGTCTTCGTTGGTTGTTTCTTACGATCCATTAGGCCACTTACATGAACTGCTATATGGTAATTGAAGGGAGCTCATGTGGGTTATGCTTTAAGTACTACAGAACGCTCGCCTTTCTTTTTCTGAAGTTTTTTCTGGGTGATTAAGTTTATACATCATCCAGTGTGAGAGATCGTGCGAGTTGCGTTTGGCACGATCAGTTGCCTGGACGAGTGTTTGGCCAAGGTTCATGAAGAACTATATTGGGCCACGTCAAAAGAGGTTCAACTTCACTTAAGGGATCGCAGCTAATGGCATGCCAAGAAACTCCCTAAGCAAATAACCGACTGGGGGGGGGCTTACTGCAGATGAACCCACCAAGGGAACTGTTAGTAAAACCACTAGCCAAACTGTCACAGATACATAGTACTGTCTAAAGTAAAATTTACGTTCCCTTCATAGATTTCAGAGGGCGAATCTTCCGGATATTCGGAGAGTAAAACTGTGGGTGCACTATTAAAGATTTCACTTGGCAACTTGGTGTACAAATCTTATTCGCTCAAAGACAAGGCCTCATAGTCCATCATTGCACAGTCAAGTCCAGACTGAACCGACGGTTGTCGACACTAACATCAAGCTTAGGTTGGGTGGTTTATCCAGGCTCTCCTGCTTTCTTTTAGTCAAAGGTACTTAAGTCTTGAGAGTGACCTTTTCGTTTCTAAACGTGAAGCGTCTCTCGAACTAACTACAATCTGCTCTATTCATCAGCCAGGGCTTAGAGCTTGTATTGATAATGAAGGGTGGTGAGGTCCTGGTGGTGAAGGGCATATTGAATAGGGACAAGAGAGAAGGATGGGAAAAAGAGGGTTGCATAAACATGAAATTTCACAGACTGACTCAGAGGGGACACGCTGTTGGGATGGCCGAAGGGAAAAAGGATATCGAATATGTGCTCTATTTTCATGGTCGCGATGGTAGATTGCACAATACCAGTTCACTCCTAGAAACTGTTGAACATGCCAGATCAAGGCTTGTGTAAACGCAGGAGATACCCAAGTTTTTTCCTTATAGTTTTCATTGGTACTCCGGCCAAAGAAAGTTTTTTTCTACTACCGGCAGCTTCTTCAAGTAATCAGTGTTTGGTGACCAACATCCCAAGACTTAATCATAATTTAATCAGAGTTTTAATCAGTATTCAGTTTCATTTCAGCAATTCAGCAGCGTTCAGTTTCAGTCAGTACTCGGTGACCTGTCATTTCGGCAAACATTCAATCTCATTTTGAAGTAAACAGGCACTCGGTTGTTGTTATTTAATATTTTTCAGATTGTACCTTTTGTCAGGGGGCACAAACAAGTCCTAATTTTCACCTCAACCTATGAGTACGGTTCGATCATTCTCAGTTCATGAGATTGTCCTAACCAGTCTCAATCTGATCGCTTCCAGAGATGCCTTCCAGCACCGGTATATCAGTGCAGTTGGTTTCAAACAAGAGGACCTAGTCATTTATGTAGTCCACACCGAGTTCACGGGGGGTACCATACATGACTTGAGGGTCTATTTGAAGAAGGGTAAAGAAACTCATGAGCGTTTCGACTCATTTTGAATCGCAGCTACCAGACACCTGGAAGAGGGAGAAAGGGAGTTTGATGAGAATGGTACCAAACTGATTCGTAGTTTTGGACCAAAGCTCTACACCAACTACCCCAAGCCTCCGGTACCTCTCACCCTCATTGATGACTCTTATTGGGGTGAACTGGTGGAGCTGGCAAAGAGGTACATCTCACCAGCACGGATTGACCATCAGACTTTCACAAAGCCTTCAGAGTTCGAGCATCTCAAACGGGGAATCTTCTCCAGACCCTATCCACCTACTCTATGGGAGGAGTTTTACTCTATAATTGACTGTCGGGTCATGTACCTTGGATGGAAATGCTCAGAGCTCGCAGGCTTCAGGTGACTCTGTATTCTGAGGCCACAACCTCAGAGAGTACGGAGACATGGTTCAAGGCACAAGAAACGCACAGCAAAGTGAGAGATTGAGTGTGAGATTCAGAGGGATGTGTGAGGACTTTTGACTTGTGCTGGTCATGCTCTCTACATGTGTACTTCCTGAGACTATTATGAGTTATCATTCTTCCCTCACTTAATTTTGTCATTGCTCAAGTTTGTCAGTCTTGCTTCTTTGCATTGTCGTGCTTGATGATTGCATTTCTCTGATGATTCTGTCACAGTTCTCAAAATCAGTAAATTGGCAAAAACGATGCATGCATGACACACCATAATTTTACGGTTATTATTTGCATGGTTCTCTGCTGTTCCAAATCAAAATAAAACATTCCTAAGACCGGGGACTGGCGAAGACCGTAATTGAAGGGTCTCGCTCGAAGCCAGACGCACACAACAAGAAGGGATTTGCTTTAATCATTTTATTCTGTTTATTGCAAACATCATCTAAAACCATGCGTGATAGCCTGCTGGCTTTCTGGTCACTTGAAGAGGCCTGACTAGAAAAAGAGCGACAACGGCGCTATGCCCACTACACATCCAACATAGCAGAGTCTCTTAACAGTTGGATTATGGAGGCCAGGGAGAAACCAGCCATGTTTATGATGGAGGACATTCGTTACCGACTGTGCGAACGTTTCCTCCGCCGACGTACTGCAGCAACACAAATCCAAACTATCCTTGTCCCGGAGGCGGAGCACTCGCTGACGGTGTGCAGACAGAAAGCTCGGAGATATAATGCAGTCCCGACGAATGACGACATATTTTAGGTCTTGTGCGGGAATACTTCGCATCGTGTTGTTTTGAGCGAGAGATCGTGTACATGCGGGTGGCGACAGTCAAAAGGCATTCCTTGCCCGCATGCAATCGTAGTCATTCTTTGCACAAACCAGTGCCCGCAGATGTTTTGTTGCCAAAAGTTCTCTGCGGAGGAGTGTCGGGCAACATATGCGGGGTTGATCCATCCACTGCGGCCGAGGGAGATGTGGGCATCTGACAAGGTCGCAGGAGATGTCTATGGAAAGGAAGTTGGTGACGGGTCAGGAGTTGAGGAAGAGGATATGCACGTGGACGGAAGCAAGATTTTGCCACCCATTGCACGTGCGGGGCGAGGTCGTCACACAAAGGTGTGTAAGCGCACGAAAGGCGACGGGATGCCAACCAGGATTTTCAAGTGCAGCTTGTGTGGAGGGTACGGGCACTCTCGTCGAACGTGCAAGAACGGGGAGCAGAAGCAATGAGAGATGCTGGACTGCGAATGTGGTTTTTATCCAATGTGTGTGTGTGTGTGTGTGTG